AGAGAGAAAAGAGAGTTTTCAGGAGTGTGCGACAGTCCATCCAGACCATTTAATTAAAAATAAACTGCAAAAAAAAAAAAATCTTCATGATTGTGAAGTTTCAGAGAAATGCAAATGCTATATATAGGCCTACATGTAAAATATGCAGATGAGTAAAACATGAGCACACATGAGTACCGGTATATGCATACGACACCCTCTAGTGTCTGTCCGGAGGAACACAGATGTGAACTGTAGAAGAAGAGCAAATCATGGTCCTGCCAACTAAAGTTGATAATTTTCCCTTCTTTTTAAGTCTTATCAGTTTAAACGTTCAAGCGGAGAGAGTGGCGGATGTGCGCGTGCGCGTGTCATTCAAAACACAAGACAAAATAAGAGTGTTCTTGCAAAACAGAACATGACAAAATAATCGTTTTTACTCGATTGTACTATTTTGCTGATCGTTGGGAGCCAAAATCGAAATCGAAATTGAAATTCAATAAATTGCACAGCCCTACAAGTTGCCTGAAGCTGGCAGCTGAAGAGAAGGAGAGGATCTCGATTCTCACTGCAAGGAGTATTTACTGGACGAAACAAAATAAACAAATAACCAGGAACAGAAACACGTGCAAACAACAACTGACAAAGCAACAAGAGAACCCCAAGGGCTATAAATACACAAGTTTAACAACAAGACACAAACGATCATGAAAACTACAAAAGGACTACAAAGATGGCAGACAGAACAGGAAACCGGAAGTATAATAAAAGTCCATTTGACAAATAAGGAGAACATATAACAATAATACCCATCATTGCTGGAAAGATGTTGAGAGTTTTATTGTTGAGAATATTTTAATGTTCATTTCTCTTATCCTATAAGTATAAAGGTGATTTTAGGTTATTACTATATTAAGGATGATTCTCAAAGGATGTTGGTTTCACTATAGATTCTATTTTCTTTTTATGCAAATTACATAATCACAAATGCAAATTCACAAATGGCAAGTTTCTTTTTAAAGTGCTTGAGAAGGAGGTTAAAATATACATAGATAAAATGTCAAAATCTTAAACCAGTAAAGAAATTTAAACAACTGCTGTTCGTTTAATACTTTCATACAAAAAGGAATGTTTGTGCTTATTCAACAATGTATGGTTATGTACCCTCTTTTCATTCTTTCCATTTTTTAAAGAAGCATGTGAAATAATATTTCACTTTATATAGGCCTATATTTATTTCTCTTAATAAAGGACAAAACAAGGAAATTTGTCTGAGACGTTTACACAAAAGTAATAACTTGCTCTTAATTTAATCTCATTGCTGCCAAGAAGAAATAACTGTGATCTGATTTGCATTATGGGATATACAAAATTTAACTTTTAATCATAAAGTATGATGGAACAATGAAAGTTTATAGTAAATATGACACACATTTCAAGTCATTTTCTCTTTCATCCTCTGTGAGAAACTCTGTGGTCGCAGTTTTGCATTGAGTCATGTGACGGAATCTAAATCCAGCCTTCATTTGCATGTTACCATGGTAAGTGTTGTGACTCACCTCGTTAACAATCTCTCAACCATCGCAGAATCTTCCTCACACACTTCACACTCCACGCCTTATTAAGACCAAAATAAACATGTTAAAACTAATGACAAAGCAATAAACGAATAAACAAACACTTTAGGTTTAGGTTCAATTTCATGGTCCACTCTCCATCAGTTTTAGATTTCACTAATATAAAAAAATTAAATTTGGTAGATTTTTGAAAAATAAAAATGTATATAAAAAACTATAAAAAATAAATAAATTGTTGTTTCAACTTTAAAAACTCTAAAAAATGCTGGGTTGTTCCAATCCATGTTTGGGTCAAATATGGACAAAAAATGACAATCATTGGTTTAAATCAACCCATAGGTTTAAACATTTTAAAGTCCCCCTGTAGTCAGTAATTTTATCACTTAAAACTCATCTTTAATCACCAAAATGACATATTTAAATGCTTTTTCCTTGAAAAAAATCTTCATGCCTTAAAATATCTTGAATGTAACCCGACACCCTTGCTTCATTTAGTATACGTGGTTCTATGAATATGCAAATGAGCCCCGCCTCCACTCACTCACTCAGCTCAGAGATCCACTGGATGACTATCACACGTTGATCTGATTGGTTACAAGGTCGTTTGTGACGTCAGAAACACCAGCGATTTCAAACCGTGTTTTTGAGACTGTCTTTGGTTCACTGCAGTTTTAAGCAGAAAATACTCAGCAATGCTGTCGACTTATGAACTTACACATGGTGTGTCTTAAAGCATATTAAAAACACAATATAGAAACAACTTTAAAAGTTGGATTTTCACCACAAGGGGACGTTAATTTACACCAACAGTTGTGTTTGTCCATATTTGACCCAAACATGGCTTAAAATAACCCAACATAAGTAACCGGGGTGCATTACCATTTTTAGTTAATTGAAACTAAAACTTTAAGTTAATACAAAACCTCTTAGTATTAACTCAAATGTTTAGTTTAATCATTTTTACAGTGCTGTAGCTCAAATGATGCACGACGCTTGCAACGTTAAAAAATGCTGGATTGTTGTAACCCAACTTTGGGTCAAATATGGACAAACGTTGGGTTAAAAATGTAATTAAAAAATGTAACCCAACGGCTGGGTTTGTCCATATTTGACCCAAACCCAGCATTTTTAGAGTGCAGGGAACGCACAAAATGTATAACTTAGTATCACTTTCCATAAAAGCATGCATAATTGTGTTATGAAGAAACATTAACTAGGAGGTTCAAGCTGCCAATGTCTTTGGATTAGTTCATGCATTGCAGATTTCTAGCTCTTGGAAAATGTCAAAAAACAAATTCCAAACACTTCCAAATGTTAATGTATAACATATTTGTCCTCTACACTGAGGAAGCTTATTCAGCAGTCACACATCACTTCCTGTCTGCCACAGGAAACACTGGGGTCATGAAAGGTCAACTCACATATTTCCTTCTGGCCTCTGATTCCTCCAACGCTTGAGATTCCTGATTAATTCGTTATAAATACTTCCTGGCATTAAGTTTGTACCGATATGTGTCTTATGTGCATGCATATGATAATAAAGAGTTGTCTATAATAATGCGATTTCCACCACATCTCAAATTATGCGTTGTGTTCAAGAGCATTCTGTGATGGAAATTACATTTTAGGAATTGACACACAGTAAAAATGTTATGAATAGTAAAAATTCATTTGTAGAGCTCTCTAATCATAATTGATACTAGTAATAATTGAATAAGAGAGCTTTATAATCATAATTGTTACTAGAAATTCATAATTGTTACTAGAAATAATTGAATTAGAGAGCTTTATAATCATAACTGATACTAGAAATAATTGAATTAGAGAGATCTTTAATCATAATTGTTACTAGAAATTCATAATTGTTACTAGAAATAATTGAATAAGAGAGCTTTATAATTATAATTGTTACTAGAAATTCATAATTGTTATAGAAATAATTGAATTAGAGAGCTTTATAATCATAATTGATACTAAAAATAATTGAATCAGAGAGCTCTATAATCATAATTGTTACTAGAAATTCATAATTGTTACTAGAAATAATTGAATAAGAGAGCTTTATAATCATAATTGTTACTAGAAATTCATAATTGTTATAGAAATAATTGAATTAGAGAGCTTTATAATCATAATTGATACTAAAAATAATTGAATCAGAGAGCTCTATAATCATAATTGTTACTAGAAATTCTTAATTGTTACTAGAAATAATTGAATAAGAGAGCTTTATAATCATAATTGTTACTAGAAATTCGTAATTGTTATAGAAATAATTGAATTAGAGAGCTTTATAATCATAATTGATACTAAAAATAATTGAATCAGAGAGCTCTATAATCATAATTGTTACTAGAAATTCATAATTGTTACTAGAAATAATTGAATAAGAGAGCTTTATAATCATAATTGATACTAGAAATAATTGAATCAGAGAGCTCTATAATCATAATTGATACTAGTAATAATTGAATAAAGAGAGCTTTATAATCATAATTGGTACTAGAAATTCATAATTATTACTAGAAATAATTGAATTAGAGAGCTCTATAATCATAATTGTTACTAGAAATTCATAATTGTTACTAGTAATAATTGAATTAGAGAGCTTTATATTCATAATTGATACTAGAAATAATTGAATTAGAGAGCTCTATAATCATAATTGTTACTAGAAATAATTGAATTAGAGAGCTCTATAATCATAATTGTTACTAGAAATTCATAATTGTTACTAGAAATAATTGAATTAGAGAGCTTTATAATCATAACTGATACTAGAAATAATTGAATTAGAGAGATCTTTAATCATAATTGTTACTAGAAATTCATAATTGTTACTAGAAATAATTGAATAAGAGAGCTTTATAATCATAATTGTTACTAGAAATTCATAATTGTTATAGAAATAATTGAATTAGAGAGCTTTATAATCATAATTGATACTAAAAATAATTGAATCAGAGAGCTCTATAATCATAATTGTTACTAGAAATAATTGAATTAGAGAGCTCTATAATCGTAATTGTTACTAGAAATAATTGAATTAGAGAGCTTTATAATCATAATTGATACTAGAAACAATTGAATTAGAGAGCTCTATAATCATAATTGATACTAGAAATAATTGAATTAGAGAGCTCTATAATCATAATTGATACTAGAAATAATTGAATTGGAGAGCTTTATAATCATAATTGATACTAGAAATAATTGAATTAGAGAGCTCTATAATCATAATTGATACTAGAAATAATTGAATTGTAGCGCTCTCTAATTTCTACTAAACATGAAATGACGAGTAAACCTGAACATTTGAAGGCCACACACACACACACACACACACACACACACACACACACACACACACACACACACACACACACACACACACACACACACGTCTGAAGGCCCGGATGTAGTGCACTGTTTATAGCGCCCTCTGCTGGACACGTGATCATGATCTGCGGGACTCCTCCTCTAACGCAGCCCGAGAATATCACTCTTCCTGCGGTGTGTGTGTGTGTGTGTGTGTGTGTGTGTGACAGCAGCAGCACTGGCGCAGTGTGTGTGTCTTTAGCATTCATCTGATTATTTCTTCCTGCATTGAGTTATTAATACAGCATCATCTGATTTCCCTCGGACTACAGGACGGAGCGGGCTTCTCTAAAATGGCCAACAGAGATGATGAATACGATTTCTTGTTCAAAGGTAAATTCTGCATTCCCTCATACAGAGCAGAGGAGTAATCATTCATAATCCACCCATTGTTTCAGACTTATAGATCTGACAAGCATTTGAGAGTCTGTTGTTTTGCGATGGTAGTCTGAAATCATATTTAACTGTCTTTGACATATAGAAACGCCCGCAGAGGCATCAATAGACATCCATCGATCAGTAAAACATCTGTTTGTGATGGCCTGGATGCTTTCACGCCGGCTGGGATCAGGAGATCTGGGCCTGAATGATGGGAAATTGAACATAATGCATTAAAGATATGTCAAATGAGGCTTACATTAGTGATCTTGTGCATGTTTTGAAGGGATTTAAGACAAAAGACGCTCAATTTTGGCTGTTTTTTTTTTGCACTGCTTTCTATGATAGTGTATCACATGATAATAATTAGGTCACATCGTGATATTATCTCCTCCAGCTGCTTTGTTGCGTTGTAAACGATGTTCCTATGTTTCTTTGATTGAATCACGTCACCGCCCGATCAAAGTCTGACGCGGCAAAACTGTTACATTCGATTTTCACAAGATCAGCATTTTTTTGTGTGGAACAAAGTTCGTCTTGACTTCCTAGCAGGACAACATAAGAATAATCTCATCAGCCAGCCCTCATGACACCTCACTCACCCTGAGCTGAAGGAAATCAATGCAAACTCATTCACAGATCTGAAGGAACAGCTCGCCTGTGCGATCCTTTACTCACCTTCACTGAGGAACACGACACATGTTTTAGAGAAGCATCAGACTGAGTAATGGGCCTTCAAAACAAGAACGTTTTCAAAAAGAAAGGACTAGAGAGAGATAGAGAGAGAGATCTGAAAAAGTTCAAAATTAACTTTTTGTTACACTTGCCAATGACGAGTGATGATATATATATATATATATATATATATATATATATACAGTAAATGGTTTATATTTATTAAATATATTTTCATATTTTCAATTTGTAATGATGTTTTTAAGATAGGTGGTTTTTTGAATGAGTTATTGGCTTGATTCAAAGGAAATTTGCAATTTTAGTTTGTTTATGTACTCTAGATTAGAGCATATAAAGTTTGGGGTCAGAAAGATTTTATTGAACGTTTTTTTATACTCAGCAAGGCTGCATTTATTTGATAAAAAATACAGTCAAAATTTGTAAATATTATTACAATTTAAAATACCTGTTTTCTATGTGAATATATAGTAACGTGTAATTTATTCCTGTGATCAAAGCTGTATTTTCAGCATCATTACTCCAGTCTTCAGTGTCACATGATCCTTCAGAAATCACTCTAATATGATGATGCTCAGGAAACATTTATGATTATTATCAGTGTTGAAAACAGCTTAATATTTTTGTGGAAACCGTGATACATTTAATTTTTCAGGATTCTTTGATGAATAAACACATTAAAAAGAACAGCATTTATTTAAAATAGAATATTTTGTAACATTATAAATATCCGTCACTTTAATTTCAATTCAATTTAATGCTTCCTTACTGAATTAAACTATTAAATATCTTACTGAGCCCAAACTGAATGGTATGTATGTTAACATTTTATTAAGTCACGACTGTGGAGACTCTAAACAATGCTGGTTTGTTTCAACCCAAATGTTGGGTTAAAAATGTAATAAAAAAATTTACAGTTGAAAGTGAAAGTTGAAGTTGGGTTAAAATTTAAAAATGACATTTTTAACCCAACATTTGGGTTTGGCCATATTTGACCCAAATTTGGGTTAAAACAACCCAGCATTGTTTAGAGTGTTATAGCCAATTTCATACACTATGATAATTCAAAGTGCTTTTCACAGAAAGGAATTAAAATAAAAAGTTCATGGACAAATATGGATAACATGCATAACGAAATATTTTTACAAAATTAAAAGAAAGCAAGGGAAACTAAAACAGGAATTAAAAGAGATGATACATACACTCTAAACAATGCTGGGTTGTTTTAACCCAAATTTGGGTAAATTATGGACAAACCCAAATGTTGGGTTAAAAATGTAATTTCAAATTTTAACCCAACTTCAACTTTCAACTGTAAATGTTTTAATTGCATTTTTTAACCCAACATTTGGGTTTGTCAATATTTGACCCAAATTTGGGTTGAAACAACCCAGCATTTTTTAGAGTGTAGATAATCTTGCCAAACACGGGTGTATATGATATTTTTCACAGAGAGATTTGTCTGTTTGTGTGCGTCTGCTGTCAGTTGTTCTCATCGGAGATTCGGGTGTCGGGAAGAGTAACCTGCTGTCGCGCTTCACACGCAACGAGTTCAACCTGGAGAGCAAGAGCACGATCGGTGTGGAGTTTGCCACCAGGAGCATTCAGGTGGACGGCAAGACGATAAAAGCTCAGATCTGGGATACGGCAGGACAGGAGCGGTACAGGGCCATCACCTCTGCGTGAGTATCAGATCACAACAGCCTTCATATCACTGTAAAAAAAACTGGCAGCTGTGGTTACCAGAACTTTACCGTCAAAAATACGGTATTAACGTTTTTGGTTTTACAGACTCAACTTAAAATTTACAGTAATAAACCGTAATTCATTATCTGATATAATGATAATTTACCAACCTATTGAAGTATTAATAACTGTTTTGTACCATTGTAATACACTGACAACCAACAATCATCACAGCAGTGATCAGTCACATGATAAATCAAAGCTCATCACAAGCAATCTTCCACAAAAATGTTAATAATACTATTATATTGAAGCTGCACAGTGTTATTCGCACGAACACCATCATGGTAACACACATGCAATTTTAAAAATGCAATAAACATTAATTTAACAACATTAAATGTAACATAAAACCCTAATGTACATAACTGATTAGAAAAGAACCAAGAAAACTATGAAGAAACAGTTATTTCAACAAAAATAAATCAAATGTGAAGTGTCACGCTGGGAATTGTGGGAATGTCAATTTACGGTTTTTCACGGTAAATTATACAATGAGTTGTTCTTTTCACTTTCAAAAACTGTAAATTTAACGGTATTTTACAGTAAAATTACATTAAATGTACCGTTAGATCTATCACAGTTATTTACCGTATATAGTAAGGAAACTTTCTGTTAACCAATTAACAGTTTTGCACTGTAGCATTTTTACAGTCTTTTACCGTTAAAATCACGATAATTTTTTACAGTGTAGACCTGTGCTTGGACCCCCTTTTGTAGATACATATTTTTAAAGGGGTGGTTGATTATGATTTCACTTTTCTAACTTTAGTTAGTGTGTAGTGTTGCTGTCTGAGCATAAACAACATCTGCAAAGTTACGACGCTCAAAGTTCAAAGCAAAGGAAGATATTTGCTTTTTAAGGACTACAACAAACGGCTGGTAGAACTACACAAGCTTCCTCCCGGGTTAGTGACATCACAAACACTAAGATTTACATAAACCCCGCCCCCGGAACACGATTTATAGATTATCAAGACAGAATATGCTAATCAATGACTAGAAGATAACTACACATAAGCGACATAAATTCACCAACTAACCATTCAGAAATGTTGTCTACATGTTGTCACTTCTTCTCGAGTCTCTCCATCTTTCTGACTCCGGTTTGAACATAAAAGGCTAAACGTTTTTGAAATGTTCAGTACATGTGTGTGTGTGAGGTAATCGGAGCTCCTAACACACACACACACACACACACACACACACACACACAAGCTCTTGAAGCTCCGCCCCCTGTGCCGGGAGCAGCAGCTCATTTGCATTTAAAGGGACAGACACAAACGGCATGTTTTGCTCACCCTCAAAAAGTGACAACTTTAACATGCTATATAAAAATATCTGTGGGGTATTTTGAGCTAAAACTTCACACACACACTCTGGGGACATCAAATACTTATTTTACATCTTGTGAAAAGCGTGTTATACCAACCCTTTAACACCTGCACCCAGATAAAGACACTCTCAGACCTTATGCTGGGGCCACACCACAAGATATCCGGGCCGATATCTCCCCTTCCGACAATCCTAACTAAAGTCCCGATTATCTTGATGATTCTACAGATTATTTTAACAATAACTAAGATTTATAAATGCTTCAGAATGATTTTTTATTGTAAGTTCATGTTAACTATTGTAGTTAACGTATGTTCATAATAAAAAAGATAATTTTGTGTTATTATCTCACAATTCAGATAATAAGTTTGAAATTGTGGGAAATAAAGTCAGAATTGCAAGATGTAAACTGACTTTTTTCTAGGGTTGGAAATTCAATATCGATTTCAATTCTCTAATTGGATACTTGTAAGTAAAATTTCGATTCCTCTTTATCGTTTAACTGTCGGAGTTTGACTTTGGACCGATGTCAATGCAAGCGAATGAGACCTAAGCTCTAAAGGCAATAAACAAGTGTTTATTTACAATAATATAGAGGGAAAATCCATTAAACCGAAACAACTTGCAACAATATTTACACAAAAGAAAAGAACAAAAAGATTCCCAGGCAGGGGAAAAGAAGAAGGGAATTAAATAAAAGAAATGATCAAAACATAACCCTCTAACTCATAAACCAGTACTAAAAAGAAAAAGAAGAAAAGAAAATCTTCAGTATCCGAAGATACCCTAAAAGAAACTATACTCACTAAATCCAGCGAGTGATGCACGGCCCTAACCTAGTGTGTCTAACACAATAACTCACTGAGTATCACGTGATCTTCTAACCTTTCCTCTCCTTCCCTCCCCATTCGTATTCACAAATCCAACCAAAGTAACGGTTATTACATGAAGGAAGGTGGACAAGAATCGTTTAGATGGCACACAAACATACAATAAATGGTAACCCACGTCACACAGAATTAACGTCATCCCGAAATCACAATTCCCAATAAAATAGCTGTAGGAGCATTAATTATTTTATATTTATTATTGGTTATTCACTGTCACGTGGGCACAGGTGATCACTTCTGTTTTCTTTATTATTTCCTTTGGCGGATTGTTTGATGCTGTGTTTGGAAGGGGCGAGTTGCGGGAGCCAACTTTCTGTTGACCGTATTGGGTTCGATGAATCATGTCTGCAAATGTCAAGCTGAAATAAAGGTCAAACAGGCAACACAAAACGGCACCAGCCGTAACATTGTGCATTATAAAGGGATAGTTCACCCAAAAATGAAACTTCTGTCAGTAATTACTCTCCCTCATGTTGTTCAGCCCCGTAAGACTTTCGTTCATCTTCAGAACACAAATTAAGATATTTTTGATGAAATCTGAGAGCTGGATCACTCCTCCATAGGCTTCTTCAGGGATCGAAACTTGCCGGCCCAGAAAAGTTATTAAAGACATCATTAAAATAGTCCGAGTGACTACAGCGGCTCAACCTTAAGTTTATCAAGCGACGAGAATACTTTTTGTGCGCAAAAAAACAAACAAAAATAACGACTTTATTCAACTATTAATTTCCTTCTCTGTGGGCCTTGAGATAGTTCACGTAGTGTAACAGCGCAGCGCTTCTGTGTCGTACGCTGTAGCAGAGATAGCGTGGGTGCTTGGGTGCGGCCGCCCCAGGGCCCCGTGCCAATTAGGGGCCCCTCAAACGCCGCCGATCTTGCGTCACCCGCGTTTCCATTACAGATTTGCGCAAAACTTTTGCGATTTTTTCTAAATATCGATAAAAAACTATTGCGAAATGACGGGCGTTTCCATTAACCGATGTTATGCGACTTTGGACGTTTGTAGGTTTATAGCACATGTGAATAGACGTGCAGCCACCGCACAAGACATTATTATTATTAATGGAAGGAGACGTGGTGTGTTATCCAAGCATTAATGGTAAGGAAAGACCCTAATACTGTGAACGGCACATGAGGTTTTCTGTGTGTTTCTCCTTCATTTCTGCTCCAAGGTCTTGATTGTGGCATTTCTTTGAGGTTTAGAATCCAGTATTCCTGCAATTCTTTTTTCTTTTATGAATTTAATAAAGAACTTTGTCTCGTATTCTGTCCAAACGGTCCGTGTACTTTTGCGTCCATTAATTTTTCCTTTTTTAACCCGTAGCCTAATTGAAAAACGAAAAATGAACGGTTGTTGTAGCCTATTTTTAAAGCGCAAAGTTGAACAACAAATTTTGAATTTGAACTGTAGCCTGCTACTACACACCAAATGCTGCGCAAAAAATAAATATAGACGAATTTTCAGATTTTTGTTTATGACTTTTTGCCCCTTTATTAAACATTTAAAATATTCACAAATTAATATGAAAAAAATGTTGATTTTACTGGTTTTCTAAGGCCAAATTAGAACCCGATGATATTTTTCCCGCAGTGCTGAATGAGAAGAGCCATGTCTCTGGAACCATAGCCTACAGAGAGGTGATTTATAGGTGATTATAGGCTAATGATAATAAATGTGTCTGAAAAAATAACGAGGCATTTTAATTGTTTATTAATAAACTAGTGTTAGTGCCGACTGCAAACATATTTTCATCTCCACTGTAAAGCGGATGCGCCTTTAGAGAGAAATGCACCTTTCATATGGATTACATAATCAGAAGGTATTTGCTTTCGATTTGAATTTGTTCGTTTAAAAGTGGACATTTCAAGCTTTAGCCTACATAGGCTATATATTGTTTCAGTTCATTTCTGAGACATGTTCCAGTTCACGGAGATCATGAAAGCGCGCCTGATTGTTTTCTTTTATTTTGCAAAAGAAGAACGTTTTCTTGTTATTGTGAGTTTACACAAATAAAAGTAGTTGCGGATTATGTATTATTATTTTCCGTATGACCATAAATGATAGAGTATTTTAAGTTGTTTCCACTGTTGACAGGAAAATGCAAGTGTTCGCGCCTGCGCATGGACGCGGGAAGTAGGGGTGCTGCAGGTGCTGCAGCACCCCCTGTTGGCAAACTGTGATGACAATCAAATGATAGCTTATAAATATATCTCTGGTTGTTGTTTCTGTTCCACAACATTTTGTATGTCATGTTTGGGGTGTGGGATGAAGAGAGGGGTATTTTTAGTAATTATTTAAGTAAAAATTATTTAATTTATCTTCGGTGTGTAGTATTAGCCAATCAGGTGTCTTGACGCGAATCACGCGATTACGATTCAGCCTACGCAGCACAAAAAAACACCGTCTAAAAAACTGCTAGTGATATAACGTTAGCCTATATCAATATCGGCGCTACACCAAGATAATTAGTTACCTCATGTCATGTCAGAGTTTACCAGCAGAACTCCAGAGCGCAAATCTACCTTTGGTGTACCAAATTCATCGTAAGGTAGAGACACGGTGTCTTACATCTCTGCGTCTTTTTCCTGCCGCCGTGCAGGCCCAGATGGTAGCCTATATGATTGTGATTAGCATGCCTATTATAAAGAAACGAACCTTTTACTATCATGTCCATTGATTTTGATTAATATGCACGAGGGAGAGAGAGAGAGCAAGAGACAGCGCGCGCGCGGCCGGGGCTCGCTCGCTCTCTCTCCCTCTCTCTGCTCGTTTGCGCCATGGTTTGCGCCCTGTCAAACTATGTGTCAAACGCATCAGTCATTCTACTCTACAACACTCACCGATCAAAAAAGGCTTTGGCAGCCGCCAAAAAGCGGACGATCCAACGGGTATTAAAAGATTAAATACAACCCGAAACTAAAAAAACCGACCCGGCCTCTATTTGAAACCGGCCTTTATTTACCCAAACCTGTAGCCATACCAGGCGTGTGAAAAGTGACAGGCGTCTATTTGGGACTCGGCTATTATTTGAAGTTGTATGGTGTAAAGATCGTTGCCGTGCGTGAATGCAAATGAAAAAAAAAAAGTTTTGAGGGAGAGTAGTAATAATTCGTTACATTTATATAGTGCTTACTAGTAATTAATAGATCTGTTTAGAAGTGGACTTTTCCTATAACCACGTTCCTGTCCCCCCCCCCTGTCGAAAATGACTTCCCGCGTCTCTGCGCCTGCGCCTCCGTCATGCAGTGCGCGCTCCACACTTCGCACAAACCCTTGGATATGCGTCAAAATCTTGTGTTTATTTGTGATAATCTTAGCCCTGTATTATTATTGTCTAACCCAGTGTTTCTCAACCTCTCCTGCAGGGACCCCCTGACAGGCCATGTTTCTGTTTTAACCCTGAAATGGCACACCTGATTCAAGTCATTAAAGGCTTAATGAGTAGTTGACTAATTGATTAATTGAACTATTCCTACTCTAATTACTCATTAAGCCTTTAATTACTTGAATCAGGTGTGCCATTTCAGAGTTAAAACAAAAACATGGCCTGTCAGGGGGTCCCTGCAGGAGAGGTTGAGAAACACTGGTCTAACCTGTATTATGAATGACATTTGACGAATTGCTTTGTTCCTTTTTTGGATAAAAGCGCCTTCTAAATATGTAGCCTAATAAATGTAGCCCAATAAATGTAATAGGCTATAATAATAATAATTATTAGCCTATTATTTGCGTTTATAACTATAAATGACTTCACTTAATATGTTTATCATAAAATAATTGATGAATGTATTATTTTTATATAACCTTTAACAGTTTTGGAATCTGAGTTTGTGTTATATTTCTTTTTTTGTATGAGAAGTCTTTTTTGCTATTCTATTATACTGAGCTTCCAGTATTGTTTTTCACCAGTCTAAAAACTAATAAAGAAGAAAGCATGTTTTTCGTTTTTCATACGAGTTCAAGGAAAAACGAATGGACGCAATAGCCTACACGGACCCCAAACACACCTAAGTCAGGTGACTGTAATTGCGCAAAAACTGTTTCCATTGCAGTTTTGCGAAATATTCCTTTTTCGAATTGCCTGAAAAACCACCTCATGCGAGCGTAAAAACTTTTTTGCGATAAATGGGAGTTTTTGCGAAATTGACGTGTTTCCATTGAGCGTATTTTTAATTCGCAATTTCAATTTGCGCAATTTGAAGGGTAATGGAAACGCGGACAGGAACGGGGCCCAGGCAAAGTACACCCAGCAAACACATTTACGTTGCGGCAATGTCTGTGGCACGTTGTGCTCGCAACATCAGTAGTGAAAGACTCAACAGGGCTGTAGCAACGCTGTTGCACGACATTCAGCAACTGAGAGACGACTTTCTGACAATTAGCCTACATTTTTTAGTATGCTAGATATAGATATCCCCATTTAGCAAGTTATGTTTTTGAGGTTAATTTTTAATTAGTCATAAGATAATTAGGCTATATACTTTTAAAATATTGTTGGCTATTTTATTTAACATATAAGATTACTTGGCTCAACAAGTGACACATTCTTACATATGCATTCATCAAATATTTTAAGTTTTTTTTTAACGGTTTAAATTTTAAAATGACTTGGTAGCAGAGGGCCCCATGATGAAGCTCCGCCCCCACTGTACTGACAGTCTAGCTCCGCCCCTGGTCGTACGTCACACACAGGCTCACTATTGGCCGACGCTGGTCATGTGTGTGTGTGACGTACAACACAGAAGCGCTGCGCTGTTACACTATGAGAACTCACTCGAGGCCCACAGAGAAGGAAATGAATAGTTGAATAAAGTCGTTATTTTTGTTTGTTTTTTTGCGCACAAAAAGTATTCTCGTCGCTTGATAAACTTAAGATTGAGCCACTGTCGTCACTCGGACTATTTTAACAATGTCTTTAATAACTTTTCTGGGCCGGCAAGTTTCGATCCCTTTAGAAGCCTATGGAGGAGTGATCCAGCTCTCAGGTTTAATCACAAATATCTTAATTTGTGTTCTGAAGATGAACGAAAGTCTTACGGGGAACAACATGAGGGCGAGTAATTACTGACAGAAGTTTCATTTTTGGGTGAACTATCCCTTTAATATGACTTTAAAGCATTCAAGCACAAGAAGACGTGCGCACAGTAAGCCACCTCTCATACTGTATAGTGCACGATACTGAACTAAGTTCTATTCCATGTGTTTTTGCACTTGAACAGACAATTTCACACAAAAAATATGTCAAAATATCCTTGTAAACACAATAGGTCATGTCTTAAAGGTGGGGTATGTGATTTTCTTTTTTACCATTTTTTCAAAATCACTTGAAATCCTATTCCTAACCCAATTACAGCCACTGAATTAGAAGCATTGAAATGAAAATTAAGCAATTTAATCATCTGTGGAACGGGCAGGACTCGAAAAACTCCAGCCAATCATTTCCAAAACCACCTAGAATCATTGGACAGAAAATGCATCAATCAAACGGTCATACCATCCCCCTCGCGCGCGTGTCCCCTTCGTGCGCATAAGCAAAGCTCGTGACCCAGTCAGAGTACGTGCAAGTCGCCCCAGTACAGAGAGAGAGAGAGAGAGAGTAAGTGCAATCTCACGCATCTGAGTTTTGCAGATGATTGCGCGTCCATGTTCTTCGAATGGGTGGAGTCAGGGCCAGCGTTGGAGGAAAGAAGGTAGGACCTTTTAAGTTGTGTATTTTCAAAATCTGCCGGGCCAGTTTGCAAATCCCATACCCTACCTTTAAGTGAACATAAACAGTTAACAAAAAAAACCCACACGTGTAACAGTATATTGGATCCGTGCAGCTCTTAAAGGGACAGCAGCGTAAAATTCCTGCTGTCGTCTCTATTGTAACGATAATCAAACGGAATAAATTTAGACGGAATATCTTTGTTACTGTATTTCTAATTATTGTAATGTATGTTTTATTTATAAAGTGCAGTGTTATTTTATTGGTTTTGTTTGATGTTCCTGTTTGACGTCTGTCATATGATCCCCTGTTCATGTTGTCATTGGTTCATTGTTCACCGGTGTCCCTCGTCGAGTCATTAGTCTTGTGTGTGTTTAAGCCCTAAATGTTTGCCATGTGTCCGTGTCAAGTATCGTTTCCCTGTAACCACTGTGTTGAGCGTCATGTTCATGCTTTGAGTTCATGTCATGCCTTTATTTTATGTTTGATCACGTTTTGTTAATAAACTGTCCTTTAGTGGACATCTATTACAACATTTGATTTGTTTCTGAAACGCTTAACACACTATCGATATCTTAGTTCAGTTGTGTTTATTTGTGTGATTGCTAATTTGTAGGGCTGTGAAACGATTAATCGCGATTAATCGCACCCTAAATAAAAGTATAATATATATAATACATGCAAATATTTCTTAAATATATACATGCATGTGTATTTATATATAAAAAAATAATTATACACAGTACACACGCATGCATGTATATATTTAAGAAATATTTGCATGTATATACTGGATATATGTTTATATATAGCCTAATTTATATTATATATAAACATTTTAGATATAAATAACACATTTATCTTAAATATATACATGCGTGTGTATTTATATATACAAAAATAATTAGACACAGTACACACATATATTATGTAAACACAAACTTTTATTTTGGATGTGATTAATCGCAATTAATCGTTTCACAGCCCTACTAATTTTTTTACTTCTTTTTTTTAAATTACTTTTAATGTACTTGTCTTTAATAATGCTTGAAATGTATATTAGTTAGACTTTTCCATGGTATTTTTAAACCACAGGCACAAAATATCCTTGTGTGCGTTTAGCCGGTTTATTTGTGTTCATGGTATTCAGCCACAATTAAATGTTTTGCAATAAGACTTAGAATAAATTGATTTTTTTTTACCTTATTAAAAATCGATAAGAATCAATAAATCGTTCAAACGATATTCAAACCTTTTTTCTAACAATTGCGAGTTTATATGTCGCATTCTGACTTTATTTCTCACAATTTCCAGCGTATGGTCTAAAATACTTTACGTTTTAGGGGAAGGTTATTTTTTTTTACCATATTAAAAATCGATAAGAATCGGAATCAATAAGCAGAATTGGAATCGTTCAAACGATATTCAAACCTTTTTTTTTAAAACAATTTCTGTTTTTTTTGTATATGATGCAAAATTGAGGCAACATGCTAGTATTCACAATTTACGTTTTTTTTACAACACGCATTCTGACTTTATTTATCACAATTTCCAGCGTATAGTCAAAAAAAAATTTACGTTTCCCTGTTAGCTGGGTAAATAAAATAAAAACTAAAACTGAGCAATAGTAATAGTGATGCTTACCTTATGACCCGCACTAAGCTGTGTTTCTCTGCGCAGGTATTACCGTGGAGCGGTGGGCGCGCTGCTGGTGTACGACATCGCCAAGCATCTGACCTACGAGAACGTGGAGCGCTGGCTGAAAGAGCTGCGAGATCACGCCGACAACAACATCGTCATCATGCTGGTGGGGAACAAGAGCGACCTGCGACACCTGAGGGCCGTTCCCACCGACGAGGCGAGAGCTTTCGCAGGTGCCGAGAACACAGTGACACGCATGAGAATACACACCGACTAGGGCTGGGTGAAAAATATCGATTCCTTGATATTAAAGGGGTCGTTCAGGATTTTGGACATCGGACCTCATTTCCAAGTTAGCCTGTGTGTTATTTATCAGTGGAGACAGTTTTCAAAAAATTTCTTCCAGTCGCATAGTTCGCCGGTGCTAGGCTAGCGCGAGTCAACGCTAACTGCTAGCCTGCCATTAAAAACAGTTTTACCCACTCCCAAATAAAAAGCATCGCTGTTTCAACAAAAATATTAATCTGCACAAATGTTTTCAACATTGATAATAATCATAAATGTTTATTGAACATCAAATCCTCATATTAGAGTGATTTCTGAAGGATCATGTGACACTGAAGACTGGAGTAATGATGCTGAAAATTCAGCTTTGATCACAGGAATAAATTACACTTTACTATATATTCACATAGAAAACTGATATTTTAAATTGTAATAATATTTAAAAATTTTGACTATATTTTTGATCAAATAAATGCAGCCTTGGTGAGCAGAAGAGGCTTCTTTCAAAAATGATATTAAACAACTTCTGCTTTCTTCCAGAGAAAAATAACCTGTCATTCATCGAGACGTCCGCTCTGGACTCAACTAACGTGGAGGAGGCGTTCAAGAACATTCTAACAGGTACACACACACACACACACACACACACACACACACACACACGTATGGACGAATGAGGCAATAAATCAGCTAGCATGAAACCCACGGCAGCGACAGCGGCGTGTTATGCAGCTTTAAAACTGCAGCATTGCTGATCTGTGACGGCCTGACAGGAATTATAGGATTTTAGAGAGATATTTTAGATGGGAGTGTAATTATTCACACTCACAATAATGCGATTCCATAACGATTCTTGACTAAATTATGCAATGCATCATCAAGTCTAAGATATCACTATATTACACGTTCACAGACTCAAAAATGTAACATGTAATACATTGAGAGCAGGGTTATTTTCATTAACTACAACTAACTAAACTAACCAACTACCTAAAACTATTGAAATAAAGCTGAAATAAAATAAAACATAACTATTAGATGCAAAACTATAGCAATGCTGCTTTGGCAACTAACTAAATTGAAGCATTAAAATGACTAATTGTCCAAAAGTTATTAAAGTTTTAGTCTAAAAACTAAAGCTGAAAAAAGAGGACTATTTAATAATAATAATAATAATAATAATAAAAATGGAAAAGATAAACAAAAAAACATTAAAATGAAAATGCAAACTGAAAACAAAAATAAAAGCTAATTAAAAATAAAAATTATAAAAGTATATAAATAATACTACTACAACCCATATAGATATATTTAATAATAATAATAATAATAAATACAACTGAAAACAAAAATAATAGCTACTTAAAAATATGAATAAAAACTATAATAGAATATAAATAATACTAGAACACATACAGTATAGTAATATTTTGAAAAACCTAATAAAAATTAAAATGATAAAAAAAGCATTAAAATTCAAATGAAAACAAAAATAAAAGCTAGTTAAAATATGAAAAAAAAAACTATAATAGAATATAAAATAGGTCACACTTTAGTTTAAGGTCTAATTCTCACTATTAACTATTAACTGCGCTCAATAAACCCCTAATAACTGCTTATTAATAGTTAGTAAGGTTGTTAAGTTTAGGTATTGGGTGGATTTAGAGATGTAGAATATGATCATGCAGAATAAGGCATTAATATGTGCTTTATAAATACTAATAATATGCATGATAATAAGTAACTAGTTAATAGTGAGAATTGGACACTAAACTAAAGTGTTACCATAAATTATACTTGCATAACAGACTGATTGAGATTGAGAGTTATTTTTCCAAAGGTTCTTCCATACTGTATTTTGGATGACTGACTGTACGGATGTTTTAAAAACCATTAGCAAACATAACCTGCTAGTGAATGAGTGAATGCAGTTCTGTACTTCTCTTTATACCACGGTCTGGGTGAATACTCGATTCTGATTGGCTGCAGGGTGTCCGTTAAAAAGTGATAGAGGACACCTAGTGAAGGAGTTCTGGTGAAACTGACTGTTTACCGCTCGAAATTAATAAATAAATGCGCTGCCTACATCAGCTGCGAGTAACCATAGCAACAGGCAGTCAACGTATCCGGTTACAATTTGCTCTATCAAAACAAACATCTAACGTTAGTTAGATATTACATAGCCTACTAATACAAAAATGAGCGACTTCGTTATTTCTTTTAACATTTATGGAGAATATGACAACTTTGACGACTGGGATGCTGCTGAAGAAAGAAAAATGTAAATAAAACGGAGATTGATCCGATTAATTTATTGCCCTCTATAAGCGCAAATCGCTGGAGCGCAGAACTAATTGTTTTTTTGTTTGATAATTGTTGTTTGATTCATTGTTTTATGTGTAATAAAAAAAATAACTATGCCTACCTTTGTGTTTCATGAAAAAAAAAAGCATTTTTTAACCTGAAGGGTTCTACAAGCTGAGCGGACTATAAATATCTCCGGTTGCTAAATAAACCGTCAGGCAAGTTATTATTTGTAAAAACTAGATTTAGCCTAATTAAAATATAAACTAATGTTTTAAAAATGTTTTATTTGGCAAGTGACCATGGTATAAGCGGGTTAATGCCCTCCGAGGTGTCCAAATTTGTCAGGTTTTAATGGAAAACCTCCGCTGCGCGTCGGCCGGTTCACGCCTCGCCGTCGTCCATTAAAACCTGACAATGGACACCTCGTCGGGCATTAACCCTTACTTAGTGGACAGACGTTGTGTAAAACGCCTCATTTTAATCTTTGCACTGGTTTCTATGGGATTGATATATGGAGATATGTGTACCGTTCTTACATAAATACAGAAAAAGAACTGCTAAGTATGTGCAAATAATTCAGGGAAAAGCTATTTGACAGTGACTTTGAACAAGGCTCATACACTCAGATTTTAGATTCACTCTTTCTCTCTCCGTTTCTCCTGCATCTGTAGAAATTTATCGCATTGTATCACAGAAGCAAATCGCTGAGCGATCGGCCCACGACGAGTCGCCGGGAAACAACGTGGTGGACATCAGCGTCCCGCCGACCACAGACGGGCAGAAGGGCAACAAACTGCAGTGCTGCCAAAACCTGTAACCATGACGACCAGCCCCACCTGTCACTCATCTCCCACTCCCTCTACACGTCGTGCCGCTAACGTTATCAATTTTATCTGTGTAATATATATATGTATATTTTTCTTTTTGATAGCTTGTCCACGTGCATACACACATACGACTGACATGAGTAAACTTTTACAGTATCTGACTGCGCTGTGGTTTATTGACTTCAAGACTGGGCGTGAATATTAGAAATATTAGACATTTTTCCTTCTGTTATCATCAGGTGAATCTCAAGATTCATGTTCAGGTCAATATTTTTCATAAAGCAACTGATTTTTTTTTTCTGCAGTATTTCCCTCAAATACTCAGTAATGCAAAAAACATGCATGGTGTACAGGTGAAACTCGAAAAATACGAATATCGTGCAAAAGTTCATTTATTTCAGTAATTCAACTTAAAATGTGAAACTAATATAATATATAGACTCATTACATGCAAAGTGAGATATTTCAAGCCTTTTTTTTATAATTATGATGATTATGGCTTACAGCTTATGAAAACCTTTTCACAATATTCTAATTTTGAATGTGAGGTTTAAGCCATAATCATCACAATTATAACAAATAAAGGCTTGAAATATCTCACTTTGCATGTAATGAGTCTATATAATATATTAGTTTCACCTTTTAAGTTGAATTACGGAAATAAATGAACTTTTGCACGATATTCGTATTTTTCGAGTTTCACCTGTATATATTAGTGCTGTCAAATCGATTAATCGCAATTAATCACATCTAACCAAAGGTTTGTTTATATATATATATATTTATGTATGTGTGTGTGTGTACACACACACACACACACACAGACACGCACATAAACATATAATATATACTGTATATAAATATAATGTCTTTACTACACATGATATATAAACAAAAACTTTTATGTTAGATATAATGAAGCGCGATTACTCAATTTGACAGCACTAATATTTATATATATATATAGTTATATTCCCCAACACTGATGCTTTGGTTTTGTGAACAATAAGTGAACATTCCATTATATCTTTAAACATTCTGGGAAACGTTACATTTGAATGTTCCGTCAACATTCAAAAACCAGTAGTAACATTTAAAAATCATTTAGAAACATTTCAGAAAAGAACACTCCATGAATGAATGTGTTTGTGCTGACGTTTCCTGAACATTATTGAAGACCGGAGATAAAGCTGCTAGTTGAGTCTGATATATATCTGTCCGTCGAAGGTGTGTGAGGACGTCCCACCTTCCCACAACACGACTGGATTCTGGAACATAAAGTAAACAAACAAATACACTCATGTGGAAATTGTGTAAGACTAAATAGATTCGCAAACAACTCAATACCAGAAGAAGCTGTTGTAGACACAACTCATCTCTTACAGCACTATTTATTTGATTCTATATGCATATTCTTTTTTTAAACATTTTTTTGTATGCATTGATTTTTTAAAGTGTGTAGGTTCTATATAGCCTACATCATACACACCTCAATGGCTTTTTTAGAAGTCTCATGAATGCTGGTCTGGAGGTTCGCTGTGAACACACACACACATGCACACACAACTCTTTTTGTAATTATCAACATTTTCAAATTAAAAATAAAATGCTTAAATTGTGAATACTAGCATGTTGCGTCAATTTTGCATCATGTAGCCTACACATGAAATTACTTAGGCCTACTATGACATCACTTCCCCTTTTACCTGCGTTCCTGAACAGAACAATGCATTATGGGTAAAGTAAAATCAAGTATTTTTTTATAATACCCCCCCCCCCCCCTCTCAATTATAATATATTACACTAAAAAAAGTCTCGAAAATAATTGAAGGGAAATCTGTTATCTGACAGCAATATGAATGCAAAAAAACGGCGCTTCTGTTATAAGAAATAGTCATGACAATTATTCATGAGATGCTTTTTGGTATGTATTAGTAAAAACTGTAGCAGGACAGAAATTTGTTTTAAGTTCTAAGAACAATAGGTTACAAAAACGTTATTTCTGAATGTTTTCTGAAAAACAAGTTTGTTTTATCTTCGTTATGCGAATGTTAAGGGAACATTCAATTTTATAATTTTAACGTGAATTACTTTTGAATGTTCTCTTAACGTTTTGAAACAAGTATAGTAATAGCATTTCTTTTTTAAATAATTCCAAAAAAACGTTCCATGAACAATGTATAAATAATATATTTTTCTGTTTACGTTTTTGAACATTATTAAAGACCACATTCCTTTGAACGAACATTAAAGTTACTGGAAGAATGTTTGTTCACAACTTTGAAAGAACCTTTCCAGAACGTTAAGCTGCAGTTCTGAGAACGTGTTAGCTGGGTGTGGTCTGTGAAAGATGTGAATGTAAATGTGTGTGTGTGTTAAGTTTCCACTGCAGGAAGCCTGTGAGCGCTGATAAGAGCCGCTGTTCTCTCGGGTCAGTGGCATGTGTGTGTGTATCCACTGCATCAACAGACTATAGGACAAAAACAGCAGAGCACATGACAGCAAACAGTGGGAGAGCAGTACTAAAACCTGTTCACACACCAAAGACAAAGACCATAACTAGCCTATAATAAAAATATATCCACAAGTAGCATTTAATAGGCGGAGCAGCAGCAGAATGATCAACTGCAAAAATTGGAGACGGTTTTAAGCAAAACGGACGAAAGCCCATAAATACAATCACTTTTAATATAACATAATTGCTTATTACTTTTGACCAATAGGTGGCGCTGACATCAAATAGATCTAGTGTGATCAGAGTTGAGTGACAATTACATGAACTTAAGATTGGTGTCATGTCAACTGTTTCGTAGTACCCCAGAGTGCAGTCTGGACGATGGGGCGGGGCGACACTTTTAGGCGGGGCGACACGTGTCGCTCCGCCCACCCCCAATTTAATTGGTTTATAATACAGCAATCTTATTGGTGTAAACGATTCAGGTCTGAGCATGCGCATTCCTTTATGTACGATTTTGTGAATGATTTGGCCGTATCAAAGAAATATTAAATGCTAACTTTAATCGTATCTTATTATCAGTTTACCATGGTATTTTTTGTTAATATCTATTGGCTAATACTTTATTATACTTAAGATACAGTATAGATTAAGTTATTGTTTAAAAACGAACGCTTGGTGACGTTACTTGTACTTCAGGGAGATGTTTTACATTAGATTAGTGCGTCATTCACTTGGCTTCTTCATGTTTCTATCAGGATCGGTGGATCAGCACAAACTCGGGATTTTACGCAAATGATGATAATTGACTGTAAGAATGTAAGCAGCTGATTTTAAATTCTAAAGCATGACCGTTTTTTGTTGTCATTTTTTTTAACGAGATTGTCCAATGCTTGCATTATTTGGTACAAAGTGCAAATAAAATGTTTAATGGCAAACACGTGTCCTGGTTGATTACCTGTTCATACAATATGAGGGCCTATTGGTTCTGTAAAGCCTGTTATATTTTTTAAAGAGTCATGTTTTCTAATAAGTGTCAACCGGTTATGTACGACTGTCTATCTGTGACTGTGACATCAGGTATATTAAAAATCCAATTGTTTATTCATCCACCATGTAGGCTACTGGATAAAAATGGTTACAAATATTAACACTCACATATAGGCTAGCTGCATAACCATAAAAAAAAACACACTGCTATAAATCTGTGCAATTATAATAGGCTGTAATAAAATAAATAAAACACCCAGCAGAGAAGTGATATGAACATGTAGGCCAATTGCTTAAATACGCTCTTGAGCACATAGCCTAGATTATAATATTTGCTATAGATCAACATAACATCTGTTTTAGTAAAAAAAAAAAAACATTTTTTTTTTATATTTATTTTTACATTGCAGCGCTGCACGGATTTTATTCCCATTGTACGCACATAACCCAATGGCCAGGGCTTGCTATTTGGTAGAAGCATCGAATGATGTAAAATTAAGGAGCTCTGCATGACATGCGGAGAAATATTGTCTAAATGTGTGAATTGTGAATACATTTTGACAGTAAATTCAACTAACTTGATTCGTAAGTTCATCAAAACATTATCCAATTGATCGTTACTGAAATCGCAATTATCACTTAATATAGTAGCCTACGGCCAAACAGCGTCATAGATAATTCATAAACTCGACATAAAGGAATGCGCATGCTCGTGCCTCAAGCGTCTATGCCAATAAGATTGCTGTATTATAAACCAATAAAATCGGGTGTGGGCGGAGCGACACGTGTCGCCCCACCTAAAAGTGTCGCCCCACCCCATCGTCCAGACTGCACTCTGGGGCTACTCACTGTTTCCAGAAATATAGTATCAGATGCAGTTTGGCATCATGCATCAAATTCATTGATGTGGTAGACTATATAAAAATGGTTATACCTGACTCGAATTTGAGGCGTTTGAAAAAGTAGCCTAAGACAATCAAAATGGCGGACAAGAAGTTGTTGGGCGACAATGGCAAAATTGGTATCTTGACCGAAGAATCGATTAAGACCAGTTTCATTATAATTGGCATGTTGCACACATATAAAGAGACAGGTCTCGTGATTTTTGGTCAAACTCTTCAGTTTCTTGTTGGCATGAAGATGATCTCATTCAATTTTCGTGAAAATCAGACCAACTGTCTAGTAGAAGTTCGAAAAGGTATTTTTTTGTGGGAAATTCAAAATGCTTTAATAGTTATGTTTTCGCTCATTTATTTAGTAAATATTTTGCCTTAAAAAGTAAATCTGAAAGTTTGACATTAGCTGTCATAATATGACAATGTCAATTAAACACGCACGCGTGCGCGCACACACGCACACACACGCGCGCGTAACCATCATATTTTGTTGTCACTTTAAATAGAAGATGGAATAAAGAAAATCACCTCAGATCTCTCATGGACTCGTCAGGTTTGCTGTCATGGATTTCTGGGTAATTTTCCAAGATGTCCATCAGCGGCAGGTTTCTTCATCACTGCACGAAAATAAACACTACACAAAAAACTCAAGCATGAAAAATAAAATGATGACAAAAAAACATGAAAAACAAACGGACAAAAGAGATGTTTTCACATGTTTAAAACTTTCTATGTCAGGTTTCAAAATATTGAACAGATAATTATAATAAAAAATACAAAAAAAAAAATTCTATCAGTTATGTACATAAATGTTGTTGCTTGTTTATTTACCCATAAATGTATCCAGCATGTCATTCGATTTTTCCCAGAAGACACTAAACAGGTTTGTTTTTTTGTGGTGAGAAACAGAAAATAATCAAGAGCAAAACATCTTATCTCAATGCAACATCACAGAGAGTGTAAAGAAACGTCTGTTTTCCATATAGGCTTTATTTGTAGATTTTGTCTTTACATCATTACTAATGATCTGTACAAACACACAGGACGATTACACACACTATCGGACACATGCACTGAGTCTCATGACAGAAGAGCTTGGAAATGACGCATAAAGTACAGCAAGACCTTCCAAAAATGTATACAGTCATACACACACTCACACACACACTAGAGCTTTACAGTATCTGACAAACTCTCAGACCAAACACACACACATGCAGCCCCAAAAATAAAAATCTTATTACTGCAGAGACATATAATACATGATTATGCTTTAAAACATATTGTACATTATTCTACAAAGACTCGCCCCATGACAAATGAGAAGAGAATGACCGAATTTGATAGAATTGATGTTTCACTTTTCAAACAAGGCCATTTTATTCTAAATCCAAATTGAATGTTTAAGAAATGTTTTAGGTTCAATAAAAATATACTGAAACAAAAACACACATTTACATGAATGCACTTATAATGGAGGTCTATGGAGCGTTGCACAAAGATCAACATTAAAATACAGTTTTGAAAGTATTGCCACAAGACTTGATGTGTGTTAAAATAGATTGACTTAACCTCGTCTGTAAAGTTCCAGTACATTTTCTATTTCATTTTAAATGACTGTAAAGCAGTTTTTTTGTTTTGTTTTTACAAACTATTTTTTTTTCATATCAGAAATGCTGTACATTTTCACTTTTACTGAACCGGAACATTCCCTCAAGAGATTAATTATGTATATTTGTGTATATAAATGTCTGTTCTGAACCAGATAATCATGATTAGGAGATTCAGCAAATCCAAAATTAGCCTTAAAACAACAAAAATACATTAAAAAATATAAAAAGGTTTTCATAAAATTACATAGATAAAAGATGACAATAAATAACTTTCCCCTGAAATGGAATACAGCTTGAAAAAACAACAACAGAATTATCTAAAAGCATGAATATTACCTAAGCATCCTTAAAATAAGATGCATTTGTATTCTCAAATCTTGAATCAAGTATTTTCATACTTAACTGGCAATAATAATAATAGCTTAAAATAAGAAAAAATCTATTTGCAAAAAAACGACTAAATTTTAAATATATAAAGTCGTAATAGACATCCATAAATGATGAGGATAAAAGATGTTCCTATTCCTTGAACAGAATATGGATTTTTCTTAATAATGTTTTTAATAAACGTATTTCTATTAATAATAATAGCTTAAAATAAGAAGAAAAAAAAACTATTAGCAAAAAATCTATTCTAAATTATAAATATATTAAGTCGTAATAGACATCCATAAAATTACGAGGATGTTCCTATTCCTTAAACAGAATATGGATTTTTCTTAATAATGTTTTTAATAAACCTATTTTTACTATTAAGAATAATAATAATAGCTTAAAATAAAAAATAAAGAATTTGCCAGTAGAGTAAGTAAAAAAAATACATGTTCTCAAAAAAGTCTTAATATAAAGCCAATTTTAATGTCTTGATTTAAGGATGTTTAGGCATTTTACTTGAAAACCGACAAAAATATTGATTAAATGAATGATTTTCTGCAGTATTGACCAGGATGGAGTGAATTCACCATGTTTTAATGATGCCGATCTAAAACAGCATAACAGACCAAAATATGATCTATAGTAAAATTCATCTGCCTTATGAATAAATACAGAGAAAGACATCTATAAAGGACAGATAGATGATGAGTTGATGATGTTTGATATGCAGTGTCTTCAGTTCACAGCTGGATCGAGTCTCAGATGATGCTCTTAAACATTAATGCTTTCAGCTTCTCTTTTCTGCATATTTCAACTATATTCCATTCTGAAAATCTCTGACGTCCACAAAATAAAGATATATCATGCGATCACAGGGAAAAGTTCATATTGCATAATGACAAAAGCTCCATGCTGGACGCACGGATTTCGTTGCTCGGATGAGGAACGGACACACTGTGTTCATGGAATGACTGAAGAAGTGCATTGTGGGTCGTCCACAACTTGCGATGCAAAATGCCGAGATGTTTTTCAGGGAGACGATGCACGTCCTAGCGGTGAGATGGTCGGGTTCACACACACACACACACACACACACTGGGTTTTCTGAGAGATGACGTTGCTCTTCAGGGGAACCGGCTGGGACGTGGAACCCAAGTAGAAAAGGAACACGTTTTTCTTTTAACTTGATCTTCCTCAGAAGAGCAGAAACCCATCCTGAAGAGCGCTTTACCAGTCGGCCAGTCGAGATCAGCTCACGTCACAGCAAGAGCTCTCATCAGTTACTGCACACACACACAGGCTCAAGTTACATACAAGTACATACTTTTAAACAGTGTAAAAACAGAATTTGGGATGTGATCATGTAAAAAAATGCATCTTCATTTCTGACTGTTACGTAAACGTTAGCATCGATCTAGAATTTTTTAAAGATTGGCTAAAATGTTATTGGCATTAACATTATATATATTTTAATATAATTATATAATTTAATTATATATATTTTATATATATATATATATATATATATATACATATATAACAGTGTAGCACAAGGGTGCATATTATAGGCCAAAAATAACAGAATGTACAGATGCATATTTCAGAAACAGCACACAGAAACACACACATTGTTTGCAAAATGAGATGCAGCTTTTGAGATTTCTCTACACACATATATACGCAACACATGCCTTTGGACTGTTTGCACAGACACATTTTACGACACGCACACACACAGAGACACAGAGATACACACACACACATGCACACAGACACACGCACACACACACACACACACACACGCACACACACACAGACACGCACGCACACACACACACGCACACACACACACACACGCAAGCAAGCACACGCACACACACACACACACACAC